ATTAAAGTTTCATGAAAACAATACCAATTCCTTGCTAAGTTCGACATCAGCTGGGTAGCTGCTCTGCTTGCCGTGGCTACTCCCACAAAAGACACAAATACTCTTGAACACACAAAGATATATACACACATAGCTAATACACACAAACTTAACTTAACAAGATATCATAACATTAAAAACAAAACTTAACTTACATCATTTCTTATTGCACTTTGTATATTGTTCATGTTGGATATGATGTACAAAAAATTCACACCAATTTATATTTATGTTATGTGATTTGTCTAAATAAGCATAAACTGTTATTAACTCATTGCCTGTAGTGTATATTAACCATAACCTGATAGGTGTCGTTACAATGAAGACTCAAAATTTAAAAAAATTAGTCCCTATAAATTAAACTATGTACAAAAAGCATACACCATAAAATAAAAGCAAATATAGATGAGGGAAAAGTGGTATATGAAGATGGATACCATACATTAAGATGAACAGCTGGAACAAAGAAAAATCATAAAGGTAAAGGCCCCTGTTTCACAAAGAATAAATTCTGCATCCACTAATAGCAAAAACACAGAATGAGCAATATAAACTGCTATGAAAATCTGTCTACATTGTTTTGGTCAAGAATAGGAAGCCTTGCAATATAAACTTAGAGCAAACATCAAAGGTAGTTAAAGTTGAACAATGCTAAAATGCTAATATTGTGTCAACAAATTCATGAGGAAGCAATCACTCAAGTTCAACATCATAGCATTACAGATTGAATTCACGATGTGATAACTATAAATTCATATTCGAATGAACACATGGATTCAAATTCAAATCTCTCACAACAAATTTATAATTAAATATGAACTTCATGAGCAGAGAGAGAATTTACTGCATTAAATCGCAAGGGGCAAGTCAGGCAAGAGGAGAGTTGATCCAAACCCTAGGAGGAGATTCAAGATTGTAAACCCTAGGAGAAGAATCGACCGAAGGAAGAGAGAGAGAGAGAGAGAGAGAGAGAGAGAGAGAAGAATCGATGAAACTGAGATTGGATTGAAATCGAAATTGTGCAGATGGTTAGTAGACGATGCAGATGGTGGTGGCGGTAGCGGTGGCGGTGGAGCTTCGAAATCAAAATCATTCTGAGATTGGATCGACCGAATGATGAATCATCGAGCTGAAGAAGGTTGAATCGAGTTGAAGGAGCTGAAGGACCTAGAGAGAGAGAGAGAGAGCGAGTGAGTCAGATTTGGGGGATCGGTTTCTATGAGACTGCAGAGTTTCTCAGGTTGAAATAAGTTGGTGAGAGATTTGAGGGTTTGGAGAGAGAAGCACTGTTAAAACATTCCAAGGCGCTTTTTAAACGACTTCTATTACTTAAAACGGTGCCGTTTTAATTAAAACAAAATGCGACGTTGACAAAACGTCGTTAAATATTATAAATAGTGGCGTTTTAAAAAACGCCGTTAAATAAACGCCGTTAAATCAAATATTTCCTGTAGTGTTGTTTTGAAAAAAATAAAAAATATATATACATTTTATTTATATTTTCAAAGTGTGAATAAAATTGACGAAACCCCATCTCCCATAATCACCAGCAATTAGTATTTGTCAAAATTAATTCAACGGGATCGAATTTTTATTTTAGCTTCTATTCCCTCCCCCACAGCTTTTAGAGGTGTTTACACTCATTTTTGAAACTCTTGTGTTGACACGGAATGAAAAGCTGCTTATGACGCCTGATAAAGAAGCTTGAAAATGCTTTATTTCTTGGGCCAAAGTATGTGCAATGTGGTGAAGGCAATCAGTGCATCAATTACAAGCAGTTGATAGAATGATGGGCCAATTTTCAAGATGCATTTAGTGCTCGTAAATGACAAGATGGCCTGTAGATATGGATTAACAATTTATTAGGGACACATAGCAGTGTTGACAACAATTTATGAGGAACACGTAACAGTGCTTGTGAAGTTTAGTCTTGCTTTAAAAAAAATAAAAAAATAAAAATAAATAAATAGAAAAGAAGGTGAATCATAAATTGTTTTTCTGTCGACTATAACCACATCTAGTCTAATTGATTGTGGACTGTTAATTATGGCTAAATCTAGTTTTATTAAGGGAAATTTAATCAAAACCCTCCATTCGACCATTGTTTGGAAAAAATGACAGTCCAATTTATTTGGCTTTATAAACTCCCTAAGGAGGAGACGCATCATTGAGTAAGAACAAAGTAAATTTTTTTTTTCTTAAACAATATTGACCCTGTTTGGTAGGGTTTATTTCCAGTTTATTTCAGCTTTTAGTTTAATTTAAGTTATTTTGATGTGTTTGGTTCAACTTAACAATACAGCTTATAGCTTTTTGTAAGTCAAAAATCAACTTATTCTTTGAGTGGGGGAGAAGAAACTTAATTTATAAGTCAAAAATCAGCTAATATTCAAAGTTATAAGCTATAAGCTGTTAGACTATAAGTTATAATCACTTTCCTACAGCTCTATCAAACGGGGGCCATTGTTAGAGTAGCATGTTACTGTGAAGCAGAGTAACATGTTATTTTGAACTAAAGTAACATATTACTGTTAAACAGAATAACATATTACATCAATTTCAATAGTAATAATTTTTTTTTTCTTTTTTTTTTAAAGAATTTCATAGTCAATATGATCTTATTTGATAGATCTTGATGAAAGAATTCTAAAAATACTAATTTTTATTAAAAATCGACATTTAGATCAAAAGTTATATTATTTTGAAGTTTAATATTTTGGCAATAGTGGTATATGTTGGACTTTTGAAGGAAAATTTTTTGTACTTGTCCTTAATACAT